ATGAATGTGTTAAAAAATCTGACGACATCAGAAAATGTGGGAATCCAAATCAATGTGTGCCAGTATGGTCAGCGTATAATTCTCAAACGAAACAAATCAGACTTCGTGTATGAGGATGGTACAGGCATTGATAAAGTTTGAACTCTCCCCATCATAAATGCCCGTGCACTCAAGTGGTCAACCTTAGTAACTGCACTTGGACAACTCCATAAGCGTAATGTGCTAGTTTCAGGTAGTGAGAGGAAGCTTGTTGTTACATTTGACATGGATCTCTACAAAAGAGTTCTGAAGTTGGAATACTTGAACCCCCAGTATAAAGATAAGTGGGTAGTATGCCCAGGAGCCTTTCACACTTCTTTGTGTGCTCTCAGGTGTTTAGGAAAGACAGTGGAAGGTAGTGGAATTGATGAGGCTTGGAAAGAAGCAGATTTGTACAGCTCTGTAGCAGTAAGTCAAATTATTAATGGTAGTCATCACAGCAGGGCCCTTGAAGCTCCTTTGGTAACCCTTCAGGTATTGTTTGACCTGTGGATTGAAGCCTTTTTTTTCAGAATATCCTGCTGTATACAAGGCCCTACAAGACAGTGTTGTGATGCTTTTAAATGCATGCGTAAAACAAAGAGGATGTTCGAGAAGCCCACATGGCATTACTGGCAACAGTTCAATCCCTTGACCCTCACAAGACAGCTTGCAAATTTTGATGCCAAACATGCAACATATCCATTATTTCAGTGGGCCCGTATGTACATGAGACAGATGATGACGCTGACTGCAATTCTAGCGTACAACATGTCAGGGTGACTGGTTCTACACCTGTCTGCTCTTGAAAACTATTGTGTTTACTTCTTTGCCTATGACAGGCTGGTGTATGCACAGCACGTTCCAGAATATCTTGCATTAATGGATCAGTTGAAATCCACAGACCCTGACATATGGCAGGCATTTCTGATGCAGAATTTCACAGTAAATACCTCCAACAATGTCCCAGGAACACTGCAACAAGAGCCTGAAAGGCGATGGTTCCATAAGTGGCATAATGCAATCTTCTGCCACATTGTTGAAATTTTGCATGTGTGCTCCTGGGTTAACAAGGATTGCAAATGAGGCAGAGAACATGGTTGGCATGCCAAACACGATAAGAACGGAGCACCATTGTCTCAATTCATCTACTGTAAAGAGACAAGAGCTTGCCTTTGAAAACCAAAACTGCACAAACTTCTTGCCCCTTGTGACATTTTCACATCCCAGGAAACCCATCTTGTCAATATGATAACTAAGGAGATAATTTCAGAACCGACAAGAGAAAGCATTTTGTCTGTTGAATCACAGGGGCTGTCTGCACTGAAGAAATTTGTTGAAGAAGGTATCTGTGGAGATATACAAATCTATTGGATAAAATGAGTAAATGCAAGATTTTCCATGGAATTCTACTGCCAAGTAGATCGAGCTGCAGGCCAAAGATAGTGCCATAACAGTGCTTGCTACATGTACGTCATGTCTCATTTCAAGATTGCTGGTTGTGGTACGTTCATCCCGTGAGGTGAACCTTGAAGAGGTCATGGGGAAATATGAATTTTCACCCATCAATCGCACACTGATTGAAGCCTGATGGCTCTCTTCATCCAACTCTGGACAGGAGTAAGATTATCACCGTACTGGAGAACCTCCCAGCAACATCATCAGAGAACAGATTACCATAATCTGTAACAAAACTTCCAAAAACCACAGCTAATCAGTGTGGTTTGATGTGCCTCTTAGTTGATAGAATGGCCGTTGTACAAAAGCCCATGGCAGTAAAATAATTCAAAAGTTGCAAGGCTCTTAGTTATGCATATGTTTCACTCATAGATGCAAAAGCTTGTTGTTATACGATTGTCCGAGTTGTATTCGACAATTATTGTGTGGGAGGATCGCTGAAAGAAACTACCAGAGAATGGCGTCGAGGTGGTATAAAGTACATGTACATGTACCTGTCAGAAGCTACAAGGTAGAGTATGCTACGCAAGTCAGAGATGCCAAAGCATTTCTAAGAAGCAATGCAACAAAGGATTCACTAATGCTTTACCTTGCACAGAAGCTCATCAGCTATTCCAAAACTCACATTATTACAGCCACATAACATGCAGTGATGTGATGTCAAATAAACCAGGAACCATAAATCCAGGAGTCAGCTCCCAGGAGGAGGCTGACACCCTCAAGATTCTCCATGCGTGTGAAGCGGCCAGAGTAAGATGTACTGTCCATATTTACAGTCAGGACACTGATGTACTAGTTCTGGCAATAAGGCACGCTCCTCAACTTGGCAAAAAAATCAGCACTGGTGATGGGTACTGGTGACCGTCGTCGGTTGATAATGCTAGAGCCTATCTACAAAGCTCTTGGGCCAGAGAAAGCAACAGGTTTATGCAAATGGCATGCAATCACTGGCTGTGACACAGCAGGCCACATAAGTAGTAAATCTAAAAAATCATACCTAGAGGCATACCTGAAGGCAAGTCCTGAGACAGTGGCAGCATTTCTTTACTTGGTAATGGTAAGGAACCATCTGCTGATACTATAACTGGCTGTGCATCATTTCTGTGCAGTCTGTTTTGTCGGACAGGTATCAGCATATCCGAACCTCATAATCTCAGATGAAAGTTGTTCAAGCAAGAAGGACACGACAAAGGGGTTGACCTTCTCCCTCTAGCACTGGGTGCCTGGAAGGAACACATACTCAGGGCACATTGCCAAGCAGCTGTACATGTATGGGAGCAGGATTTAATCCTCCAGCCTACGATACCAGATCCGCTCAAGCTTGGATGGATAAGGGAAGATAGAGGCTTGGTGCCTGTGTTGTCAGAAGTTCCCCTAACCCCCCCCCAGTCTGTTGTTGAGCTTGTGCGATGCAAATGTGGCGCCAGCAATCCTAGTTCCACCAACAACTGTGCAACTGCAAGGTGCTCCTGCAAAGCCAAGAATCTTTTTTGCACCGAACTCTGCTGATGTGAAGCTGAAGAGGAAAGATGCGAAAATACTGCTAGTCGTCCGGATGCAGTCATGCTGAATGAACAGATGGCAGTAGATAATCAGTTTTATTTTCCAATGGCATACTGTACAAATCCAAATACAATAACTCCCACGTAGTGTAATTAAACAACGTAGTCTGTTTTGGAAGGATCGGCCTGTTTTTTCCTTACCGTTAAAGCAGTAATCTTAACCCCTTGACGACGGGAATTTCTTCTCGAAAGCCGACTCCAAGAATTCCAGCCTCGCTTGGCCACGAAGGCCACCTGCCAAACTGCAAATTCTCGGTTTGTGACCATACGTACTCTGCACACTTTGAATTAAACGGTGAAAAGGCTGATTGTTCGGTGGCATGCGGCTCTACTCACCTTTCCACATTCCCGTTGCCTCTTTTCAAA